GAATAGTATAGACATCACTCTCCAGCACCTTAGAAATTAAGAAAGTTTGTAGAGCCCCCAGGTTTACCCATTTCAGTTCTGTCTATTTGGGATTGTGAAAAGGATTAGAGATCATGATCACATCGCTGGCATTACCTTGACTATTTAATGCCAGACTTTGACAGATATCAAAATAGAACTCTTTGGAGAAAGCAAAGAGACATTCTAGAGGCTCAGAAACTTAAGTACGCAAATTTTGGAGCTCAAACCTAAATAATTAGTTTTAAAGTTAGAGATCTTTCTTGCCAGATACACTGATACCTTCTCGCATCTGTGATTTTTTTTTAAGGTTTCAGCCTACATTAGTAGCCTATGGCTACTGAGTTCTAATGCTTCCATTTCCTAGTCTCGCATGGATGTGTGGATCTAGCGACATTGTCTAGGGAAACAGCAGACATTAAGTACCTGTCTGGTTTTGGCAGTCTCCTGAAATGTAAAACAATAGAGATTATTAGGATATATCTTCTCAACTGCCGAGCACTGACTTGTAACCTTTCTCGTATGTGCACAATATGGGTCAATAGTCCTTAATATCAGAGTTAGGTGCGCATTCAGGTATAGCAGGTCTCTAACCATAGCAATCTCCAGGCAAGTTCATAGCTGAGGTGTGTTGTCGCTTAAATTGTACTACTAAGAGTTCAGTGTTGCACTAGATGAGACTGTACCCTGCTTGTTGTATGCTGCAATGCCGTAAGAATCGCTTCAATATTTTCTTTTTTTTTTTAAAAAAAGAATTTATGTTAACACATTCAAGAAATGTAAAAAAAAAAAATTAAATCTTGTTTGTTCATCACAAATGTAAATGAATCTTTTATTATCAGGATACTAAAAAAGAAGAAAAATTTACTGTTTGAGCCTTTCTTCCTTTGTGAAACATACTGAACTCTGAGGGTTGGATGAAACTATTTCAGGGTGTTTTGTCTTCTGAAGTAGTTGACCTGCTTGGAATTCTTGGAATTAATGGGGAAATACTTTGTATATTTCATCTAAAAAAGGAAAATCACAAATAGAATGGACCAGCCAGCCGAAATGGGTCTATATTTGCATCAACCACAGATGATTTCATACTTCGATAAAATTTATTTCCTTCCTTCAGAAATTCTTTTCCTGTTTTACCATGTGCCCAACCGCGTACGTTCTTACCGTGGAAACTGAACTGATGGGATTTTGAAGAGAAAATTTCACTGAGTACTACTTGACAAAAAGGCAAAATATTGACCTGTCAACGAACCCTTTGGCAGTGCTTGGTGTACACAATATTGCCAGTGTTACCTCTTGGACAAAATGCTTGTCTTCAGTGTTTCTGGTGTTTATGCTCCCAATAGAAGATCAAAGCATAAAAAGCTAATCCAAAGGATAAAACTTCTTGATTATTCTGGTATTAACTGTATCCTTAGTGGTATAAGTGGTATTTTTGAACAACTGCAGTTGGCAAAACTACAAGTCTCTTCCAGAAATTAAAATATTAATGTGAGGTGGAAACAGTTGTCAATTCTGAGAGGATGAGATACCTGAAATAATATGGAAATATTGACAGGTATTTGCATGGGAAGTTCCACTGACTGAGGAGTAATTTGTAAGGACCACTGTTTAGATGTTAGGGGAAGGTATCTGCCATTTTGGGGGTTTTACGGTCTGGAATTCTGAAACCGCAGCATTATCAACAGCAAAAGAAAATTTACTCCTTCGTATTTAGCAAGCATGATAGGAAAAAATTGAAACTTGGCATAGTTTATACCACTCACTGCTCTGTCCCGTAAGGAGAATATATTTTTAAATATTACCAGAACTGACATTCTGTCACCTTGGACAAGCGAATCCCAAGATTAAAAACGAACATGCAGTTCCATTCAAATAAGGCACTTACAAGCCCTTCCACCTTCCCTTGTACAATAAGCCTCTGAGAGGGTTTGTGTTAATTCATAATCCAGAAGACAAATTGTGATTTTGATTCTGTATGCTACCTCTGGCTTTTAAATTCTGTTTCAAAGCAATAAAAATGTATGGAACTGGACATAATTTCTGAAAAGCTGTGTTTGTAAGGGAGAAAGACCATCTCCAGTAAGGCTTCTTCCCTTCAGAAATTTTAATTCCATGAGACATTTGTTAATGAAGTACTTTATCTGTTTATTTCAAAAGCTGAAGATGCTCTTTTTTTTGGGTTAACTGAGGTTATAGCCTCATATACCTTTTAAAGCTACCCAGAGCTATGAAGCAGGTTTGTTAGTCATTTGCTAATGAGTGTCTCTGAACAAGGAGAAGTAATTTCTGTAGCCAGCTTAGCATTAGAAGGGGAGAGTAGCATTTTAGGGTGACTGTATACAATGAAAACATTTACAGAGAAATATCCTTGCAGATCAGTGAAGAAGAAGCACATCTTAACCTACTTCCAGATGTGCTTTGATCATTCATGCTAAAGCAAATTAATACTGCCTCAGCTGCCTTTCTGCTAGTTTGTGGTAGAAACAGCAGAGTAGCCAGTGTGTCCTCAAGTGCCGCAGTTCACAACCTAAAATTTTATCTTTATAGGTGGCCAGGGGGTAGATTTATCCTACATTTACTGGCATCTATGCTGAGCTGTATGTAATCAGCTGAGCATAGTGAACTCCGACTTGCTGCTTCACTTCTGAGGGTCTCAAAGCCCTTTAATAGTAAAAGTAACGATCTTCTGACAGATTTAGTACAGGGCTTTATCTATGTTCTTCATGCAGTTCATGCATGAGCGAAAGAGGGGAATGTCTGTTTCCTCAGATATCCTCTACGCTAGTTTTCCTATCAGTTCATCAAAAGTAAAAACATTCCAGGATTTTGCTTCATCTGGAGAAGCAATGCTGGGCTTTGCCCCTCTGATCTGGGAAATGCGTACAGGTGATCTTGCTGCACAAAGGTTGTGGCCCTGCTTGAAGACTTCAGAACTGTTGGAAATGCATGCAGTGGTTTTGCAGCCCTGGGTCTGAGGTTTGAACGTCTTAGTCTGTTGTGTCATTCCTTGTTATAAAGACCCTTTTCCATACCTTCAATTACTTAAAACCCAGTTCTGTTGTTCCTTACACCTTTTTAATTGTTCTTCTTTCACTTTCTGATGATGGTAGGAAAACCAGAACAGTACACAGTGTCCGAGATGTCAACAGCCAGTGAGTTTACTTAGTGACAATGCTGATGCATTTTGTTCTGCTTACTAAACTTTCAGTGGTTTTGGTTGCCATTGAACTTATATCTAACACTTCCACAGAACTAGCTAATATTAGCCCCAAGATCTTTTCCCTGAGTGGAAAGAGCTAGCTCAGAGCCTAGTGTGTGTGTAAAGCAGGGATTATTTTTTCACTTTAGCTCATTGTTTCAAATTTATCTGCAGTGAATTTTATTTGCCATTTTATTGTTCCATCAGAGTCATGAAATCCTTCTTATTTTTTCCTTCTCCAAACAGAAAATAAAAAGTGTTCTAATTCTGTACTAGGTATCTGGATAGATTAATTCATTTTCAGGAAGTAACATTATTATCTTTTGTTCTCTCTGTCACACTCAGTGTAGTTATAGCAGTAACAACGATTCTTTATAGACAAGATTTTGACACTTGAACGACATGACGCTGAATTCTGGTTTCATATTATTGTGTTATTCTGTAGGCTTAACATCTAGATCGAGTGATCATTTCGGCATAATAGCTTTTGTTCTCATCTTTAATAAATATAGTCATCTATTCCACATACAAGGCATACCACTAATGGGATGCAAGCCATTTCAAAATGATTGTGCAGTCTAGGTCAGAGTTGCGAGTCAAGTGTTCCGCAGTCTTTCTTGGTATGTGTGTTACTTTGTTCCTGCCTCCCCTCCAAAAAATAAGCCTCTGTATATTGAATAAGTAGAAATGTGCACATGATATTTGAAGTTGAAATAATGGGACAAGGTTTTTGAAATGGACTATGCATGTTCGCATTTCCTACTATCATTTTCTTTCAAGGCCTGCTTGCCAAGTATTTCTGGAGGAAAAAAAAACAATCCAAAAGGTATTGTTAACCTAGGTAGTGCTGTCCAACCTGGACTAATTCACCTATCTCTTGGAATACGGATACTCGCATGCATCCCAACACAGATCACTTATATTTTAATGTATAGGAAACTTAGTTGGTTACAGCTATCATAGCCTTAAAGGTGTAGGGACTGAAGACCTGAAGAAAGATTTGGGCACTTGATTTTCTCTTTTCCAGATATGCTTGTCTAAGTATAGATAACACCTTTCCTAGTAAGGGAATAGTCAAGGTTATTCAGTGCTTACTCCAGAACACTGCAAATTCTTGTAGATTAAGCCTGTTTATTTCTAATTTTTGTGTATTTTTTCTAATTGAAAATGGCTTTGATCAGTTTATGCTGTTTATTCAGCAAGTTTTGAACAGGAACTGACAAGGTACTTACTTCATTCTGCTATCACTTGGAGAAATTCATAGTGGTAAACTAAGTGTTGGGAAACTGTCTTATTACAGAAAATAACATTTTTCTATTGAGAAGGTTTTCTGAGTAGTTTTGAAGATCAGATACTTCTGGGAAACAATTTAAAATTTATTAAAATAAATTCCCCAGAGGTTCTAATATTTACAAAGTTAAAGTTCTTTGCAAAACATTGTGTATGTGAAAGTATATACAATTGCACTGGACATTTACAAGGTATTTTTTCTGCTAATCCTGATGACTTTGTGTGGTGCTATCACAGTGAATGACTAATTGATAAGGGCTTACCAAAGAGACTTGCAGTGACCGGATTACTTGTGATCTCAGACTCAAATTTCCCATTTGGTAAGATAGAAACAGCTCTCTAATAGACTGTAGTTCTAATATATAAGGTGTGCATCACAGCTACATGCTGTAAAATACGATAATTTAAATGTGTTTTTAAAAGTGATAAATCATTAACTACATTAGCTTTTTTCCTTCCATTCAAAAAAGCATTTTCCGTACTTTTGCAGAGCTGCAGGCTGTATGCAACAAAACACTTACGAGTATTACTGAGAGCAAATGTAGAGTTCTTCAGCAACTGGGGGATTGAGTTACTGGTGACCCAGTTACATGATAAAAATAAAACTATTTCTTCCGAGGCACTTGATATTCTAGATGAGGCATGTGAAGACAAGGTGAGCATCCTTTCCCTTTTCAACCTCTTTTTGGTATGCTACTCTGTAAGCTGTTCCCCACCCCCTCCCCCAGTAGCAAAGTAAAAGTATGCAAGAAGCTGATGGTTTCCTTTCTTGATTGTCTTTGATGGACTTCATAATAGTTTATAGACACCCTTGCTGAAAATACTGCAGTATTAGTGATAAGAAAATGTAGACTTCTGGATTATGCCTACTTTTAAATATGAATTCAGACTAATTCAGCTGTTTTGATCATTATACTTTTTGTGAAGTAATATATATTTAATGACAGAAGATACCTAAAGTGGATAATGTTAGGATGAGGTTAGTGCTGTTTGAGACTTCCTTTTGTGAAAAACTTGCTGCTTCATTGCTGGCAGATTGTTGTAATTGTTGTAGTTTTCAGAATTATATAGTGGTCAGATACTCCTTATGCATTTTTAATTATTTTAGGCCAATCTTCATGCCCTTATCCAAATGAAACCAGCTCTTTCTCATCTTGGAGACAAGGGTTTGCTTCTACTCCTAAGGTAAATGTTGAATATGCTGTTTGACCTTACACTGTGGAAACAAGTGAATGTTTGGTTTTATTCAAATTAACGTGATTTGTTTTAAGTGGAGTACTAACTGTCTGATCTTACTTTACAGATTTCTGTCCATCCCAAAGGGATTTTCATATCTAAATGAAAGAGGTTATGTAACAAAACAAATGGAAAAGTGGCAAAAGGTAATGCTAAGAATAAAAGATGTGCTTGATATTAGGAGGAGGAAGGGTGTGAATATGCAGGTTTAGCAGGTCAAAGAATCTTAAAAATATTGCATATTCATATACATGTATTGCTAATGCCAGTGCATTTATTAGCTCAGTGACTTACGATTTTGCTGAAAAATGTTGGCAGGGACTTACAGTTCCATAGCTACTCTGCAAATGCGAGCTTTTTATTTACCCAGGCCTTTTATATAATTCTGATTTTTCAGCAAATATTTCAGGAGTGTAGTGACTTTCTAAATAGGCTGTTGTGTAAGGTCTTTAGATCTAGAGAAGCTGTAAAGGAATACTATGTTTCAAGATATGTGTTACCTCTTCTTGTTGCTAATTAAAGTTAAATCTAGAGCTCCTGAAGATAGAATTAGCTTACGCTGTTAGGAAGTAAATAGGAACACAAGACCACTAAGAAAAATGCATCATTGTCATGACTAGAACAAAACTGTTCATACATTATTTTGTTTTTGTAATTGATTATAAGTGCTTGGTCTCATTCCTGTTGGCAATTTTTTGACTAATTTATAAGCTGTCACTTCTCTAGGAATACTGAAATGCGTGGTGGTCTGTTGAGATTACTCAGGTTAAAGTCAGATGTGAAGTATTTCCTTCTTTCCTTCCTTTTTTAACAAATTCACTGAAAGAACTATGGAATCAATTGTTGACTCTGCAAACTCATTGTATGTATGAAGTGCAGTAACTTTGGTGAGCCCCACCTTCAGATCATAAAGAAGTTCAGCCTTCCTTAAGGAGCACTTCAGTTACTCCTTCCTTATAAAGTACTGTACTATAAAAACGTAAACCACTAAATGTATTGTGTCAACCTTTGTCTGTCTTCTTTTAGGAATATAACTTAAAGTATGTTGAATTGATTGAAGAACAACTTAATGAAGCACTTACAACATACCGCAAACCTGTTGATGGTGATAACTATGTTCGTCGGAGCAACCAAAGGTAAATTTGGGAAAATGCGTCTTTGGATGTAAGCTGGCAGGACTTATCGAGAGAGCTTTAAACTAGAATCGATGGGGGAAGGGGATACCGACAGGATTTCAGTAGATAAGCTAAGGGTTGGCATGGCATCGCCTGAGGCTGGCAGTGTGAGTGGGAACATTTACACTGCTCTTGGGAGCATGGAGGGGTCAGGAGCGTATCTGAAATGCTTGTACACCAACACACGCAATATGAGAAACAAACAGGATGAACTGGAAGCGTTGGTCAGTTCCTAGAGCTATGATATCATTGGTATTAGTGAGACTTGGTGAAATGAGTCCCACGATTGGAGTGCTGGGATGGAGGACTACAGGCTGTTCAGGAGGGATAGGCAGGGCAGGCGAGGTGGAGGTGTTGCTCTATATGTAACAGAGAGGTTTGATTGTACAGCTGTTACAGTTAGTGATGGTGTGGTTGAGAGGATTAGGCGAATGGGAAACAAAGGAGATGTTGTAGTGGGTGTCTACTACTGATTGCTCAGCCAGGATGGTAGGACTGATGCATCATTCTATAGACAGTTAGGAGAAGTTTTTGGATGGGTAGCCCTTGTCCTTATGGGAGATTTCAACTTCCCAGACATCAACTGGGAATACCATATTTCTGTGACAAGCATGTCTTGGAAATTCTTGAAGTTTGTATGAGATAACTTCTTGTCACAAATACTCAGTGAGCAAGCTAGGAAAGATGCCCTCCTATGCTTGCTGTTTGTGAATAGGGAAGCACTCGTGGGGGATGTGATGGTAGGTGGTTGTCTCAGCCACAGTGATCATGAAATGGCTGAGTTTAAAATTTTCAGTGTAATGAGAAAAAAGGACAGCAAAGTTGCTACCCTAGACTTCAGGAGAGCAAACTCAGCAAGCTGTTTAGCAGAGTACCCTGGGAATCTGCTTTTGAGGGCTTAGGGGTCCATGAGTGCTGGTCAGTTTTTAAGAACCACCTTTTAAAAGCACAGGAGCAGGCAATCCCCCTGTGTCATAAGTCAAGCAAGCGAGGCAGAAGACCAGCTTGGCTGAACAAGGAACTCCTCATGCAGCTCAAGAGGAAAAAGAAATTGTATGGTCTCTGGAAGTGAGGTCAGGCTTTGCAGGAAGATTACAGAGCTGTGGTTCGTATATACAGGGAGAAGACAAGAAAGGCCAAAGCTCAATTAGAATTGAAACTGGCCAGTGTTGTTTCAGATAACAAGAAAGGCTTTTTCAAGTACATTAATAGCAAGAGGAGGTCTAAATAAAACATTGGACCCGTAGTTGTTGAAGATGGTCACCTGAGTAATAGGGATGAAGAACAAGCAGAGGCTTTTTTCTGCCTCAGTCTTTAATTATTCTGATAGACCTTGGGCTGCCTGGTTCCTTGATTCAGAGGCCCAGTGTGTCAACAGTGACTTGCCATTTGTGGACACTAAAATTGTAAGGGACCAGCTGTATCAGCTGAATGTTCACAAATCCATGGGGCCTGATGGGATTCATTCCGGAGTACGGAAGGAGCTAGCAGATGTTATGGCACGACCCCTCTTGATCATCTACCAAAGGTCTTGGGAGTCTGGGGAGGTCCCTGCTGGAAGCTAGCCAATGTTATTCCAATGTACAAGAAGGGCATAAGGTAAGACCCGGGAAACTACAGACCTCTTAGGCTAATCTCAGTTACAGGAAAAATTATGGAGATAATCATACCAGGTACTACTGAAAGGCATTTAAAGAACAATGCAATCATCAGGCACAGTCAACGTGGGTTCACAAAGGGAAAGTCCTGTTTAAGTTTATAGGCTTCTATGGTAATGTCCCCTGCCTATTGGATGAAGGGAAGGCAGTGGATGTAGATTTTCTGGATTTTAATAAGGCTTTTGCTACTGTCTCTCACAGCATCCTTCTGGACAAGTTGTTGGGATGAGCAGATTTACAGTGCACTGGGTGGAGAACTGGCTAAAGGGCAGAGCTCAAAGAGTTGTAGTGAATGGGGCTACACCTGGATGGTGACCCATCACCAGCGGTGTTCCTCAGGGCTCAATTCTAGGGCCAGTTCTGTTCAACATATTTATCAATGATCCAGTTGCAGGAGTTGAATGCAAATTTGCTGATGATGCTGGGAGGTGCTGTTGACTCTCTTGAGGGACAAGATGCCTTGCAGAGGGATCTAGATAGATTGGAGCATTGGGCAGTCATTAATGGGATAAAATTTAACAAGACCAAATGCTGGATTCTGCACCTAGGACGGAGTAATGCCGGGCACAAGAATAAATTGGGAGAGGAGTGGCTGGAGAGCAGCCCTGCAAAAAAAGGGATCTGGGGGTGCTGGTCGACAGCAGGCTGAATACAAGTCAGCAGTGTGCCCTGGCAGCCAGAGTGCAGCAAACTGCATCCTGGGGTGCATCAAACACAGCATAAACAGCTGGTCAAAAGAGGTGATTATCGTGCTGTATTTAGCATTGGTGCAGCCTCACCTTGAGCACTGTGTGCAGTTCTGGGCACCACAATTTAAGAAGGATGTGAAGGTCCTTGAATGCATCCAGAGGAGGGTAATAAAGCTGGTGAAAGGGCTGCACCAGGGGAGGTTTAGACTGGACATTAGGAAGCATTTCTTTACCAAGAGGGTGGTCAAACACTGGAACAGGCTTCCTGAAGAGGTGATCGATGCCCAATGCCTGTCAGTGTTCGAGGCATTTGGATGATGCCCTTAATAACATGCTTTAACTTTTGGTCAGCCCTGAATTGGTCAGGCAGTTGGACTAGGTGATCATTATAGGTCCCTTCCAACTGAAATAGTCTAGTGTAGTCCATTCTACTGTATTCTAAATTCTCCAAAAGAATTCTCTTCATCTGAAAAAACTTGAGAGTAACTCATTCATTACACTGCCATGTAATTTATTTTAGAAGAAAATGTCAGAATTGCTGGGAAAGCATATTATTTCTCTTTCTGCCAGATTACAGCGACCACACGTCTACTTGCCAGTTCACCTTTATGGCCAACTGGTGCACCATAAAACGGGCTGCCATTTATTGGAGTCTCAGGTGAGGATAGTAACTATTTATAACTTGAAAGATTTTAAAGAGTACTGTAAACCTCTTAAGAGATGGCATTTAAACAGTCATTGCAAAATAAGTTGATTATGAAAGTCTTAAGTTATACAGGGCCAAAAAGTTGTGAAGACAGTCTTTGCCATCTAGTCTCATGTAAAATTTCTTTCTGACACTGAAATATCGGAGAACTACCGTGCAATTTTTCTTAAAATGGCTACCAAAATGTTAGAATGGAAAGCAACTGCCCAATAGAAATAATTTTTCAGTCTGTGTAAGTTGTATGTTGACAAGTAAAACTGTGCCTATCCTTTTATGCATACAAAAACGTGGAGATGAGGGAATAAAATCTACTTTCTAATATCCTGAAAAGCTAAGAAAACAAACTCTAAGCCAGTTCATAGTTGCTTAAATGAATTCACTTTTAATGTGGGTTTGTAAGATGATGTAATGAATTGAATATGATAGTTGAAAAGTTCAAGAGGAAGCTTGTATATGGCAGTGTGTTAGTCTGATTAATCTGTAATCTTTATAAAATCTGAATTAACTTGATGCAGTCAGTGGTTACATTAAAATTTTCTACTTGCATTACCACTGCTGTTAATTTATGCTTATTATTCCAGAACTACTACTGTTCATTTTAGGGTGTATATTTTAAATTAGTGTTTTACCTTTTATTAAAAATGCAGGAGAACTTGTTTGACTGAGGTCTCCTTGTCGTTTTCCACTGAGGTTTTTTTTTTCCTTCTGTTTTTCTCCCTTCAGAGTATTGTTACAGATCTAAGTTACACTGTTCGCTCCCCGATGCTGGATAAGTGGGAAGGAATTAAGCAGCTGAAAGCAGCCCTTTGGGCCTTGGTTAGTAATAGATTTACAAACTTTCTGCAGTTGTTTGAGTTCTGTTATGACTCTTGATTCTGAAATAACTAAGCAAAATCCCATAAAATCATCAATTAGGGGTTTTGTCATCAAACGTGTGTGATTTTTCCAAGTTGGTGTTTGTAACCTAATTGGACTTTCAATTGAAAATGGTTCACTGCACCTTTTTTGTTCTGAGTTTTTTATTAAGTCATTCTGTCCTTTTTTCTTCTTTTTTAACAAATAAAAAGAACAGATTGCCACATGTAGCAAAAGTATTAGTATGGAACCAGTAGTTACAAATTGCTATGGTCTGATTTTAATGTGTTTACTGCGGTGGCCCAAAATTCAGTGTTTCTGGAAGAAAGTTGGCTGCCACTGTTGTTTTGTGAATATATATGGTCATGACATCCTTGGTACTTGGGATAGGTGAAAACCTAGTGTCTGTGTCTCTTGAAGCCACACTTCTAAATTTGCTTTGCCACCTCAACTGTTTGTCTGCTTCTGTCTCGTCTTGCCCAAAGTTTATTTTGGAACATTTGTCCAAGGTGAGTATTACTGGAAGATACTGTAGGTATGCAATAAAATGCCTGTGTAAAAGGAATATAAAATGACTAAACCAAGATCATACTGTTGGCTGTAGTAGAATTGGTAAAATGAGGAATACATAGTAGTTAACTGTGAGCAGTTTTAGGTATTATACATAGTGTGCCAAGTCCTTTTTTGCATTTGGACAACTAGGAAATGCCAAAAAGGGTGCTCAAATCTCTAATTGCTTTAAGAACATGTGGCTTGAAACTGTACTACCAACAAACAAAAATGTCGAAATCTTTACACTGATAGTGCTGCAGATCACATCAAAATCAAAACTTACTTGACAAACTTTTATTCTAGGGCAATATTGGATCATCAAATTGGGGTCTTAACTTGCTTCAAGAGGAGAATGTAATTCCTGATATAATGGCACTTGCCCAACATTGTGAGGTTCTCTCTGTTAGAGGGTATGTGTGTCTTATTTATACATAAAATATACAAATGTAGTTGCCATAGGTTTTCAAATAGCCTTATCTAATTTACATGAATATAGTTTTGCACTTACTTGGAAATCAGTTATTAAAGATCGTTGATGGCTGAGTATCAATCTCAGTCCTATACAATCGCAGAATTGTACAGGAAGTCTGAAAGAACATGCAGTAAGCAAATGAAACCTATGAAAAAAGATACATACTACTTTTCTCCTTTTTTAAAAAGCAATTAAAATATTTGCTACATATATCTCTGTTGGAATCAATTTATTATTCCATCATTTTTATTCAATATCTCTTTTTGATTCTTTAAAAACATAAATAGATGGCTACTTCATTAATGTTTGTCTTTTTATTTTTTTTAAAGAGGAGGTACTTTTCTACTTTATGTAATCAGGCTCTTGTAATAATTAGTTTTTATTTTTGAATAGTGTATTGTTCTCAGATATTTTACTGCATTTCTTAAGCTTCCGTTGATCTACAAATAAAAATGAACAAAAAGCTACTTGGCAGTTTTGTGAAGTTTCTGCTGAATTGTTTTGAAACTGTTTCCTTTCAAAAGAGAAATAAGTTTAATTAAATTAGATGCTATTATTGTTGCTCTTTTTTCTATATATACATTAAATACAGAACCTGTGTCTACGTGCTTGGTCTAATAGCCAAAACTAAACAAGGATGTGACATTTTGAAGCATCACAACTGGGATGCAGTGAGACACAGTCGTAGACAGCCTTGGCCAGTGGTCCCTGATGACATGGAGCAGCTCTGCAATGAACTTTCTTCTATACCCAGCACTCTTAGCTTGAACTCTGAGTCCACTAGTTCTAGGCATAACAGTGAAAGTGAATCTGCTCCTTCAAGTAAGTGACAACAACAAGAAAACAAGCAAAAAAAAAAAACCAAAACCCACCACAAAACAGCATTTTGGTGTTCTTACCAACCTTTTGGGAGGATGAGGTTCAGGCAAATGGTGTAATGGTGCTATTACAAGAAAGAAGAGTGCAAGCGAGGGAACAGAGTTACATGCATTCAGAGAGATGTAGACAAGTGAGAAGGAAGAGAACAGTGTCTTAGGTTTACATTTGGTGTAGAAGTAAGAAATTTTAACATCAGGGTAAGTTATTAGTTTTTATCTCAAGTCATGTTAGCTTGCTGTAATACCCTGCAGAAATCTCAATGCTTAGGTATAAAGATATATTTACTTGAGTGTCCTCAAAGGAATATTCTAGAATACAAACACATATATTCTGTGTGTATATACATGCACACAGAGTATTGCTGTATTTAAATTCTTGTATTTTGAGTGTCTAATACATTTTAACTTTACTATGGATATTTGGAATTTAAATCCAGAAGTATACTGTATTTAGATATTATTAAAGGAGCACATCAGTTGTAATCCTAGTAGCTGGACTTTTGCACTGAGATAAGATAGTATGGCTTTTCTTTTGAAGCAATGAGACCTTCAGCTCAGGTACTCCTCAAGATACTTGATTTACACTACTAAGTTCTGCAGAAAAAATGTTGAATTAAAATTGCAGTAAATCGCATAGTCTCCCACTTTGGCTTCTATAGAATTGCTTACTTTTTCACAACATAGCTTATACACTTTGAAGAAATGCTTCGTTTTCAGTGACAAAGTCTCATATATCTCATATAATTTCAGGTATGTTCATCATGGAGGATGACCGTTTTGGTAGTACTTCCACTAGTACGTTCTTCCTAGATATTACTGAAGATGCAGAACAAATATTTTATGACAGACCTGGACCTTCAAAGGACAAAGACCGTAGTCCCTTTCCTTTTTTCTCTTCTAGTAGACTTGTGAAAAATCGCATTCTGAACTCTCTTACTCTACCTAATAAAAAACACAGAAGTAGCAGTGATCCAAAAGGAGGAAAGCTGACATCATCTGACAGTAAATCAGGCCTGAGGAGAAATCGTACAGTAACAGAACCTTCCGGTAGCATAGACTTTACTGCTGGGGAGGAATTCAACCCTGTTTTCAGAGTTCCTAAAATCCAGACTTTACGATTAGAAACTTCTTTTGTTGGAAGTAAGCACATGGAAGATACTGATAGTACCCCAAGTATTGGAGAAAATGATCTGAAGCTGCCAAAAGGTCTTGGAAATGAAATTCACCGGGAAAACACAAGCAGAGAAAGGCTAATAGGAGATGGTACTACACAAACACATTTCAAGAGTCGTAGCCTGAGTTTTAATACAGATACCACAACAAGTGGCATAAGCTCAATGAGCTCTAGCCCTTCAAGAGAGACTGTAGGTGTGGACACTACAAATGTAGATACTGACTGCGGAAGTTTGAGTACTGTGGTGAGCACAAAAACAGTTAAACCAAGTCACTGTTCAACACCACAGTCTAACCACCTGCCTCTCTCAAAATCCAACTCTGTATCCTTGGTACTGCCAGGGTCTTCTCATACACTTCCCCGAAGAGCCCAGTCTCTTAAAGCTCCTTCTCTTGCTACGATAAAAAGTCTTGCTGACTATAACTTTAGCTACACAAGTTCTCGAGATGCCTTTGGCTATGCTACACTAAAACGCTTACAACAGCAAAGAATGCATCCTTCACTGTCTCACTCAGAAGCCCTAGCATCTCCAGCAAAGGACGTGCTGTTTACTGACACTATTACCATGAAGTCTGGCAGCCTGGATTCTCGGCTCACCCCAAGCCGGTAAGAGATTATTATGTGCTCCTTTCTTACTTCAAAGCTGTAAGAGCAATTAAATAAGAAAAGTATCTTTCTAATATTTTTTTTCCAACTTCAGCTAAAAGTGGCAGCTGTTCCAGAGTGATTGATAACTTCACTGAAAGCAGTATTGATATTAGGAGAATAATATAATAGAATTCTCAACTTTGCAAGTGCTGTCAGAGAAGCCCGGCTTTTGTCACTGTGCTCAGCCCCTTCAATGCTGTTAGTAACAAAGGAAGATGTTTCCTTTTTTCACATTGGCTTCCTGTTTAACTTTTTTAATGTTTAAATGCAATTGCACTGCTAACATTACTAAAGTTGCAATCACAGAAAATTGCCCATGTAGTCAGAGTTATATTTCAGAAGAGAATTTTCTCTCGATGTCACTTAGTGAGGTTTTAGGACAGGGACTCCTGCCAATATGCTATATTCATGTTCACTGTGGCATTGAGGCCAGTGGTGAGATACTGGTACCACTGATATGAATGTGATTTGGCTTCTTAGCTACAACAGAGCGAAGATTTTACCTATAGCGTTTATTTTTAGATGGCAGCATCACCTCTTTATTTTTGACTAGTATTAGATGTTCTGAAGACTAATTGGATAGTTACATAAGATATCTAGCTCTTGACATTGACACTGTTGGCAGCAGCTACAGTCAGTGCTTAACAAGTTTCTCTTAAAAGCTCTTCTACCAAATTTTTCCTCTCAAATAATCTTTAGCTACTGCATTGGCTTTTCACATTACTATTGAAAGGGAAAGACACTTTATATCTTTGTTCTTACCGAAACATCCTTTCTCAGACAAGAGAAAGTACGTTAGTCATGTGCTTCCTGCACAGAGCAGCAATTGCCCAGTCCCTGAACTGCACTCCGTATAACCAGTTGAGTGTATATAGTGCCTGCTTATTACTATGCATTTTTGTCCTGAATAAGAGCAACATTCATTTGTTGATATTTTCACATGATTCTGCAAAGATGCCATAAAAGATAAGTTTTGTTCCCTGTGTTCAATTAAGTTAGACCAAGACTGAGTGTGCTGATTAAATTAGGGATGATTCAGTAGTTAAGCTGCACTATCCTGGAAACCAGAAGTGCTGTTCCTTGCTCTGTCACTGGCTTCCTGTGCTAATGCAGGAACAAATCAGTGTCATTTCAGTGGCAGTGCGGGTTCGGTTGTGGCTGTAGTAATGTATCATTCCTTGCAGTCATGCCCTTAAGGCAAAACAGCCTTGTTGCAGTGGACTTTCATCCTGAGGCTCTGCATGCAATGTAATACTAACGGTATTCCTGATGCTTAGCTGTTCATGATCTCTTGTATCAGTGGTTAGGCTCAAGGATTTGAGCTGACCTGTTTAACATTGAACTGAAACGGCTGGAGGGCTTGTATCTCTGAGAAGGTTAAAAAATTGCAGATGTACATATTACAAGAGATTGTCAGATTGTGTTGGTTACTAATATAATTGAGTGGAAAGACTATGATGTAACTAGTATATGTGTTTTTCTTACTGGTTACAGCTGAGTGTATGCAATGAATAATTGTGGTCCTTTTAATTTCAGAGTATGTTACTACTTCCAGCTAAATATTGTCTTTCACTGCTGTTTAAGTAATAAATTGGAAAGAAACATTCTGTCTTTTTTGTCTGCCAAGGCTATTTTTCTGTCAGTCTTCAGAAAAATTTCTTTGATTCATGCTTCATTGACAAATTCGTGTGTTCATAGTAACTAGCAGCTGTAAATTGATTTTTGTGATGTTTCTAGTTATTGTTTTCATTCAAAAGGTTGAAAAGTTTATTCCTTTGCATAAATTATTTTGTGAGGATAAATTTTCTATCTCTGTCTTTAAAGACCAACCAAAAATGTTAATGTGCATGTCTCAAATCCTGATTGTGGCTCTCACCCTATCACCTGCAGACATGCTTTCATGAAAACTTACCGGTTTTTATCACTACTAATGATATATCTGTTAGCTCTTCCAGGAAAAGCAGAGACAAATGATTAGGATTAATACTTCTATCTTTAATTTTATTTTGAGAGTAATTGTAGAATGCTTTATTATTAAATAACTAATGCAATTGGTAACTTCTTGGGTTTTAGAATCATAGAATCGTAGAATTGTTTAGTTTAGAAAAGACCTTTAAGATCATTAAGTCCAACCATTAATGTAACACTACCGAGTACACCACACATGTCGCGAAGCACCACATCTGCACGTCTTTTAAATACCTCCAGGGATGGTGACTCAAACACTTCCCTGGGCAGCCTGTTCCAATGCCTGACAATCCTTTCGGTGAAGAAATTTTTCCTAATATCCAATCTAAACCTCCTCTGGTGCAACTTGAGGCCATTTCCTCTCGTCCTTTTGAAGTATAGCTTGACTTTTATTGTAAGTCCACTGCTACTGTCATTAGCATTGGTCAGAATTAGTTAGTAGCAAGAAAACTATTGATATCCTATAATTTGTGTTCTGTGCATTCCCATTGCATGATAATGTCTTGAACCTTACATGGTCAAACCTTCATAATTTAATTTTATCTCAGTATAAATCTGTTAACCTGATAGGGATAAGAAGACATTTTAATTGCCCATTTAAAACAAAAAATGATAGAAAATTATTTCTATGGCAGAAAATAAAGAAATCGAATGTTTACTGTACTTTACCTCCCAATGTATGATAATTTGCAGTAATATAATAAAAATTTACTGTTCCTGAGGTGTGTCTCTTTTTACTAGAAAGCTTTAATCCACTGCATATAGACCATCTACATAGGTTGATTAGCAGAAAACATATATAGGTTTTTATCTTCAATGAGAAGTAAAATAACAAATGGCCAAATGTGAAATTTCCATCATCAGGACTCTGATCAGCACTGAGGACTTGTTCTCCAGCCTTCTCTTTCCTGCCTCATTTTCCCAACAGATTTCTTTCTTTGTTCCTCAGGCTGCTTCTCACAGTCAGCTATGCTCACTGCACGGGTTCAAGTTTGTTCTTTGTGCTTTCACGTTGAGCAAATTCTTCCTCCATGCTTGGGTGACAATGAGTGGCTCCTTTAGAGTACAGGGAAAAAATGTTCCTTGCTTGCATTGCTGGTACCTTAGCAGGCTCAAGCTTTCCGTTTGCAGGGATGTGCCTGCCTAGCTTGGAGTTTGTGAATATCCGGGGAAGGTACATTCAATGTACAGGTCAAAATGAGGCAGTTAGCAGTTTAAAAGTTTAAATCTTTACTGACCATGTCTGGGCTGTAAATCTTCAAAGCCTGGTAAGTTGGAGAAAATGTGTGGTTTTGCAGGGTTGGCAGCTCCTCAAGCAGAAGTTCCATCCTGCTATCTTTCAAGTCCCTGTCCCAGAATTTTAAAAGAAAAAAAATTTACCTGAGGAACTGTCAAACCATGCAATACAATATGATACAGAAAAAAGCAATGAGTCTGTTAACTGTAATTTGACAGAGTAACAAGCTCTGGGTTCTGCAGTGGGAAGGTGAGGATAGTCTTTGTGTCAGCAGTCCTTACTTTTAATGTGCCAGAATGAGAGATTTACCAAGATTGTGATTTATTATTTCAATGTTACAGGTTCATGAAAGCTTTAAGTTATGCTTCGTTAGATAAAGAAGATTTATTAAGTCCTATTAACCAAAACACACTTCAGCGTTCCTCTTCTGTTCGCTCCATGGTTTCTAATGCTACATATGGTAGCTCTGATGATTACATTGGCCTTGCTCTCCCAGTGGATATCAATGAAATATTTCAGGTATGTATCTGAAACCTTACTGGGTTCATTTGCATTTTCTTATTGAAAGGTAGTCAACTCTTGCCTTTTCATCAGAATAGATCTAGAGAAATGAGGAAAAATGGATGTGGTACTTTAGAGGAATGTATTTTGGAGAACAAGAGTTTCTTTTCTAACCCTGTTTACAAAAAATCGCTAGTCTGTTTTGTATTATCAGGCATATAATGACAGAGACTAGGTTAGAATAGTGTTAAACAATGGTAGAATAAATATGCTGTCATAAGATTTTTAGTTGACAGCTAGCTTTTATACTAAAATTAGCATAGTCTGTGGACATTTGTTAATACCTCTTTACAGCCATCTAATTGATGTGTTCATTGGTCAACCATAAATGATGTGCATAATCACACAGTTAACTTCCTGCTACCATGATCTTGATTAAATATTAGTTTATTTGTATGTATCATCATAGCATTAAATTACATTGTCTTTACTTAACCTCACAGATATATATATTTAAGTTAAAACAGATTATTTTAAGTATCTTATCAATTGCCTTCCTCTTTCTACTTGGCTAAAACACATTCCCATCTAACAAATTGATGCATCACAGGGTTTAATATTCTGTTACTTAATATCAAAAACAGAACATGGTCTACGTCAACGGTAGATCAGTGGGCTTCCTTATTTTTAGTTGACTTAGTCTATGCCTTTCAAACCTAAATTACTTTATTACTAATCTCAAAAAATTACTAAAGCTAGAGCAAAGGCAAGATTTTTCATCATACCTGCTTCTGTTCCCCCTTTATGAAATGACTACTTTTTGTTTCTCCTTCTGTCCTGGTTTCGGCTGGGATAGAGTTAATTTTCTTCCTAATAGCTGGTATAGTGCTGTGTTTTGGATTCAGTATGAAAAGAATGTTGATAACACGCTGATGTTTTAGTTGTTGCTAAGTAATGTTTACACTAGTCAAGGACTTCTCAGCTTCCCATGCTCTGCCAGGTGCACAAGAATCAGGGAGGGGGCACAGCCAGGACAGCTGACCCAGCTGACCAACGGGGTATTCCATACCATATGACGTCATGCTCAGTACATAAACTGGGGGTTGGTCAGGGAGGGGCGATCGCTGCTTGGGGACAGGCTGCGCATCAGTTGGCAGGTGCCAACACAATTGCATTGTGCATCACTCGTTTTGTATATTCTACCATTGTTATTATTATCATCATCATCATCATCATCATTATTACTATTTTCCCTTCCTTTTCTGTTCTGTTAAACTGTCTTTATCTCAATCCATGAATTTTACTTTTTTTCCGATTCTCTCTCCCATCCCACTGGAGTGGGGGAGGAATGAGCGAGCGGCTGTGTGGTGTTTGGCTGCCTGCCGAGTTAAACCACAACACCTCCACAGTCTTTGTGACATATTTATGTTGCCTAATTTCTTCTCTCTCAATTCTTTTTGGAGAGTTGAGGCACGTCTTGACTCTACAACATCTTGCAGGCAACATGTTAGATGTCCTGCGTGTTTTTGCACTGCTCCTCCAAGATCTCCAATGGTATAGAGTGATCATGGACAGATCATTAATAGCCACTTCTGGGTCACTCGTTTCCTGACAGCCTGACACCACTGTTTTAACATCTACTAACTGTTCATAAGCCTTGCTTAATAAATGTTCATTCACAAATGTATGTTTTTCTCATTTGCTTTTCTTAGTATTCAGGGGCCCATTCTTAATTTCCTCCTCTAATTAGATCTTTTTCCTGAAGTAAAGAATGGACAACATTTGACTTCCTCATAAAATCTGTTTTTCCTTTCTATATGGTTACCACCTGTGCTAATTTTCATTTTCACTTGAATATTCCAGGTAAAGGAAACTCCGTATTTCCAGAAGAAAACCACACCTCCATTTGATGACCGTGGAGCTAGGGTCTTTGCACCTGATACAGGAGGTACTGGTTTTGTTCCTCTCCTGTACTTTTCTGTTGTTTATTTGTACATTGATTGGGGTGGGGTGTTGGTTTATTTGTTGATTTTTTTCCTTACAGAAAAGGAAATTTATTTTTAGCTGTTAAGTTTTGAGAGCTGTGTTCTGGATTTAGGATAGCAGGCCATTAATTCCCTGTTTTATTTAGTTTGGGATAATGTGGTGATGCTTCAAAGCAATATAAGCTTGGTCCTGCTCTAATAAAAGAAGGAGGAAAATGTACGTATCTTTGCTTATAATATGAGCTAATGCTAATCGAAGACTGATAGTGATACTGCATTAAAGAAAGTAACAAAATTTAAGCTAAGATAAAATATGTATGCCACATATTGAGCACAATGTTACATTTTGACCTCCTACACATGAATTTGTAGGAACCAATAAAGGTGTTAGGTTTCTATTTCAGAAAGTAAACTTTGTCTTTCTGTGATGTTTCCATGACAGTTGATCAGCAGAGGTGATGGGACATGGTACAAGAGAAGTGCAAGTGCTCTGTAATGCCTGGCTTGTTCTGGAATGCACTTCCTTTTTACTCCAGAGTAGTCAGAAATCTGTAGGGCATCAATATGTGTCTCTTCAGTAGGACAGCTGAAAAAGAAGCATTGAAATTGGTCCTAAAGTGTAGTATAGGATAGCTGTTGTCTTGCCTCCTAGTTAACTTGAACTTTATTACAAGCACTTTGAACATCCAAATAGACATACCTTACTGATTTTTTTTTTTTCCTTTTGTGTTGTTAATGTAATATATAAAGATTATTTTCCTGAAAGTGTGTTTCTGTAGTTTGCTAAGTTTCGGTATAAAGTAACTCTGGTACAAAATTGTATTTGTTGGTATTTTCCGAGGGAAGAGCATGTCACTGAAGTGTCTTTGGCTTGTTGAGTCTAGTTTCATCTTATTACAGGCACTAAGTTACAGTTTTTTAAATTGTGTTTCTGTGTTCATTGGTACACGTGTCATTTCAACATCTGGTATATTGTTGTACTAATATTGTTTGACACTATGAAAATTGGTAACATATTAGTGTTACATGGGTATTACTATTACTAATGTTGATATAATGTCAGGATTTACCACATATCTTCTTACAGTATGTGTGTACAGTATGTGTGTTTAGAGGTTGAATTCTGTCCTTTGCAATGTTTTGTTATATATGATAAGCCAGGACTAAAACGTGATGTCTGTTTCCCAAATGCTAACACTCTTGGGAGCTCAACCACTCAAAAAAAACGTTTCTAGATCTTCACACACACACACACACTCTCCCCAGCCTTAAAAGGCTTAAAAGGGGAAATTTGATTGAAATAATGTTGGTTGCTTGGGTTTGGTTTTTTGTGATGTCTAATTGCTTATCTACAGGTCTTCCATCAGGTACAAGTGATGTTGTCAAAAGCCCTTTTCAGATGCTCCGACAGCAGATCAGTCTCACAGAAATAATGAATACCAGCCGTTCAGATGCCTCTCAGTTTTTAGAAAATACAGAGGATACAGGGCTACAGGAGCACACAGATGAAAACTGCCTTTACTGTGTCTGCATTCAAATACTGGGTTATCAGCCTAACAACAAAATGAACTCTTCATACAGTCGTGCAGGTTAGTGTTCCTTGTGGGGAAGTGTGATAAAACTAAATAAAAATATTGAATTTTGTTCATCTTTAAAATTGATCAATCTGTAAGGTTTTTTTCTTACTGACTATTGACCTGAAATGAATTCTCTGTAATAAGTTCACTGTGCAACCAATGGTATTTCTGTGGTCATTTCCAGCTTTTCGATTTCTGGTGTTATTAGTATGTCTGGGTGCCTGCATGTTTTTTAAATATTTGTAAGAGATTATCAAAATATAAAATTTGAAACCTTATTTAGTACTTCTGCTCTGCAGAGCTTGCAATTACACACCTTTTTGCAATGTCTGTAATAAAAAGATAATCCAGTAATGGATGTTTAATAGGAATCCTCACTGTTTTACAACAGTGTTACACATTCGGGTAGTAACACATAGAGTACTGTTGGCAAGGAGAATGATGTACAAAGTGTGAGGGGTGGCCCAAAGAGCTGAGTTTGAGCTTGAGTTCAGTACTGAGAACGGATGGCCAGTAAAATCCCAAATGTAGTCTTCAAATAGCGTAAGGGGATTACAGGTGCAGCAGAGCCAGGCTCTTGTCAGACGCACACAGCCAAAGGACGGGAGGCCACAAACATGTCCTGTAGGAATAGAAATTCCAGTTGAACGTAAGCGGAAGCTCTTCACAGTGTAACCTAATCTCATTTTGAGGTGAACCCTTCTTTGAACAAGGGGTTGAACTAGGTGATCTCCAGGAGTCCCTTCAGACCTATGTTCTTCTGTGGTTCTGTTAACTGCGCCACAATTAAAAGCTTGGATTTTGTATTTATCTCTTTAAATCCAAAATGTCAAAGGCTGTGGATGGTGAAACCTCCCAGAATAATCTTACTTGTCACATCTTTCTGTTGATGAAGTCAGAGCCTTTTCTGCAACACCTGTAATAATTGTATGAACAAAAAAAAATTACACATATGCAAGAGCATTTTTATTATGTTCCATAAAATAGAGCATGGATATGTCAATAAGAGGTCTATGTGTGATGACAGTTTTTAGGTTTTTGCTAGTGTCTAAAAAGTTGATTATTTTCACTCGAGTATTTTAAGATTCAAAAAAAGTGATTTTTAGACATTTTGAGCATGATTTGTCCAAAATCCAACATCTAGTTTCCAGCTGGTTTATATGCACAGTACTTAGTGCACAAGTGTGTTGCGTGCTTACCATTGTTGAAAAATAAGAAAAGCATTTGAAGTGAGGAAAAGTGTGAATAACAAAGATGCAACATCTTGTTCATGTCAGATTTTTCAGACATTCCATATACTGACTGGTGTGGGCAGACCATACACAATCACTTAGATGTGCATTCCTCCAAATTTTCTGGAATTTCAGGCTGTAGTGATGCAGTATCCCATGGTTCAGCTAGCAGCACCAAGAGTACAGAGCTTGTACTAGGTAAGTTTGAAAGCCTTATGATTATTAGGGACTATAATTCTTAAAGTATTCTTTAGGTATTGTGGAAAAATAATATTTCATTTATACATACTGCAACAAAGTAATGCTCATTATTTAAAACAACCAAACAAAAAAAACCCAACAAAAGAACCAGAATAAAAACAACCACCATCTCCAGATGGGAGAACATACTTTTAAGCCCTTCTTTTTTTGCTATGCAGCATTTCTGCAGGTTGTTAAATAGCTCTGTACCTGACATTACAAGCAAATTGATTGCCTTTTTTTCCACACTGGTGTTAATTTAAAAAAAAAAAAGAATTAAAAAAATTACTGAATTTCTGTAAAAAGAAAGACATTTCTTTTTTAGGCTTGTGTTTTACATTTTGAATTATCTTAATTTCTTATGAAGTAGCTGATTGCTAATTTCTCCAGCGTCTGATAGAATCAGAGCAGGTTATCACTCGACCAGTTTACAACATGATTTAGTGGTAGAGACAGCACTGTAATTGAATCTTACAGGATTTTCCATTTATGAAATGGTAGTTTACCATTCTAAAATATTTATATGTTAAAATTCCTGAAAATAGTTTTTTTTTTTAAAGTTTTAATTTCAGTGGAAATACTTGTTGCTAGTTCAGAATACATACATAAATACACGTGTGTGTGTGTGTGTGTGTGTGTTTATAGAGTGCTAAAACAGACTTACATAGCATAAGGTTAACACAATCAAAGACTATTCTGTTCAAACTCCATACTGTTTAATTTGTTTTTCCAGGAGTAAAATCAATCCCAGATGATACACCAGTGTGCAGAATACTTCTGCGGAAAGAAGTCTTACGTTTAGTAATCAATTTGAGTAGTTCAGTAGGAACTAAGGGCCATGAAACTGGACTCCTGACGTAAGTTCAGTACATTTCAGATGTTTTAGCAATATTTAGTTGTATGTATTCTATAAGATTTCTGGGATAGTGATTGACCTTATTTCTGACTTCTCAAAAAATTGTCAAGCAGATATGATTGAATGATTGAATGTAACATAAAAGCTAAGCAAAGAATTTTCCTTTTAGTGTTTTTGCTCTGTCTTTGATTTCTTACTCTTCTGCAGTCTTTTTAAAATCAGTAATTCAACTGTAGTGATATTTCATTACATACCCTGTATATCACGCATTTTTAAAAAAGAAATGATAATTCTTTTTTGTTATTTGTACCAAATAATATATATCAGATAAGCAGAAACAAACTGAAAGTAACTTCTTGAGAAACACAAATCTGCTTTGAGCAAGAGTACAACTACTGGAATTAATTTATAGAAAAAATCATGTTAAAATATAGGAATATAAACGCAGGGACCAAATGTTATAATAAAACCTGTAGGTTTCTGTGCTAGTGACATTGGAAACTGACATACAACTGCTAAAAGAAAATGCAGAAATGCTCATTTTAGTTTCAGAAATGCTTACAAGTAATTAAGTTAGCTTTTCTGTATTTTTTATTACTGCTGTACGTGTGGATGCCAATTCTTTGATATACTGTTCTCTTTCTACATCTGTTATTTTAAGACTAGGTGATCTCAGCAGTTCTGTACAACTTTCAAATTATGTATTCTGTTTCATCTCATTAATACAGATTTCTTCCCGTTTGATACAAAATAATGCTGTCTGTTCTGGTTTTCTTGTTTCGTCAGATCCAGAATGCCTATTACTGAAGAGTTCTACTTTGTTAATGATGACAATCAAAATCTAATTGAATAGGGGTTTTTTAAATATGATCAAGTCTGTTCAAGACTTAAAAAATTCTGTTTTTTCTGTTTTTCAGAATTAAGGAGAAGTATCCCCAAGCATTTGATGACATATGCCTTTACTCTGAGGTGTCCTACTTGTTAGCACATTGTACATTTCGACTTCCATCGCGAAGGTTCATTCAGGAGCTATTTCAAGATGTACAGTTCTTACAAGTAAGTGGATGGTTTGAATGCGTTGGATGCACCCAAATGTGCCAGCTGGGTGCAGGCTTCATATTCTGAATAAAAGATGCTTTCAGATACGTCTTAAAGGAAACCATTTTATGATGTCTCTTTAGTAAAATCTCTAACAACATTAATACGTCATCTGTCTTTTTCTTAGATGCATGAAGAAGCAGAGGCTATTTTAGCAACACCAACGAAACAGCCAGTAATCAATACATCAGCTGAATCCTGACCTCTGTCTCACGCATAGTGCATTGCATATAGACTTTCTGAAATCCTCAGACAGCCTCCGACTGACTGGATAAAAAGCTTGGAGCATCACCTTCTAGACCGTTCCAGAAGCTACTGGTACCTGAAGACTGAACTGAAAACTTTTTCTTCCTCAACCAATTACTGCCCCAGTCTTTTGAGCCCTTTGGGGAGTTATTAAACATTACCATAGTTTTAATAATAGTAATTACCAGTATATGCAAGAGCCGAGCACTGAACACCTCCACAAGTTTTCATTTCATTTTCTACCATAAATTAAAAAAAAACCAGGACAACATGCAGAGACATCTTTTTTAATTGACTTCCAATTCTGTTCCAGAGAAGCAGAACGATGCCTTGCTTTTTAAACCCTGGATACCAGGAGTCAGAGAGATGAGGGTGCATTCCATTGCCAGCAATGGGGAGCCGTGCTGTAATCGTGGACACCAGGGGATTAATGTTAGCCCTTCTCTGTTGGTTTTTGTACTGTTTATAACACTACTTGGGGGTTTGTAACTTCAGACAGAAAGAAAAGCCTCTGTGAATCTGAGGTTTCCTTTAAGTTATTTTAATATTGCTATAGTTGTAAGTCATTTTATTAGCAGTCTCTCCAATTTCGTTACATTTATGTACATGTATCTTATCTAAACCAGTTAAGGATTTTCACTACAGTTTGATTTTAAAAATAACAAATCATTTAAACTTAAAATGCTGAAATCAGATTGTTTTCCCTGAATGATACGCATGTGTTTGCAGTTTCTACACTCATATAGTATGAATGTTGGTCTTACTCTTAACTAAAATCCTTTAAAAAGCATGATTTGTATCAGATAAATGAATATTGTATAAACTAAACTTGAAGACACTTAATCATTGCTGCTTTTGTGAGAAGACGTAATATGAGTGTTTTCCAAGTTCCATGGAAACAAAGGTTTACTGGAATTTTCAGTGGATGAGTGATCAAGCATCAGATAGTACTAATAATTGTAGTGAAAAGCCTTAAGTACCAAATTTTGGAGCAAAAGTACTTACAATTTTATACTGGTATTTAAGACTTGTTGCAAAAGTTGAATGATACAGTGACTGTTAATGACTGAAATAGTTGCCTCTATCACATTACTAGTGAGGTTTCTAAATTAATGAGTGCAAGCTTAAAAAAACAAAAGTAAGAATCCCATCACTTCTATCATGGATCTAAAGATTCAGAAGCCTTTATACGAAGGTAATATAAATATATGCAAATGTGTATATACAGTAGCATGGCCATCTTTGTTAGAATGCCTGTAATAGAAGGGATTACCCTTTGATTTTGATATAGGTGAATAATTCAGCTGGACTGTACTAAGTAGAACATATTTTTATCCATTCACTTTTACCATTTTTTATAATTGTCTGATTAATACTTAAGTGAAGATAAGTGAAACTTATCCTGATGCTCATAACTCTATTCTTATAGCTATGCTACTGGAGATTTCAATAAGTAGTCCTGTGAAAAGTAAAACATGATTCTTAGTGAAATGTAGAATGTATTTGTTCTTATTGGAAATTTCATCTTGCCACATAAGCACTGCTTTGCAGCTATCACTTCACTGAGTTCTTATGTGCACTGCATAACATCAGGTTCTGGTAAAGCAGATTGTAAGTTGCTGCTCATAGTCAAATTTAGTTCCTAAGATTATCTTTTCGTGAGTTCCCACTGAAAGAAGGAGCAAAAAGAAACTGATTCAACTCTTCTGTGGTCAGTGACACAACTAATGTATCTATGTGTCAAGGCATTTTTGAAATGCTTTGCAAACATACCACACCAGTAACTATTGGACATCTCTGGTCCTAAGAAATAAATGCTTCTGTAAAACCAAAACGTCAATCACAGTAGACCAAATAGTGGTATAAACTCCAAAGGAAATAATGTAGTTTTCCCAAAAATGGGGCTAGCATATCTTATACAGTAGTTTCAAACACTACCTCAGTTAGGCTAGAGTATAAGAGATTTGTTTTAATAACTAGATGGGGTTACATCAAACAACTTAATGTTATTTTTCTGCAGTTAAAGCAAAATAAACAAGTTTTATCACCTGTATTTAAAAAAACCACCTTTGTTCATTTGTTACCAGTTTAACCCATAGCAGTTAATGTAGAAAGCGCCATAGGAAGGCCTCTGATGATAGAAAGGTAAGCAAAAGCGATGTCAATATACTTTTGAAAGAATCTCCATCCTGAAACGCTTATGTGTTCTGAAGTACTCGCTTGTGTGGGGATCCATGACAACAGAAACTTGACGTACAAATTATGGCTGCAAATTCATTTATAAAACGTGATTTTTTTCTGAAAGTGTGTGAGTGTCAGTAGATTTCAACAAGTATGCATCAAGGATGTAAACTCTGTACTGTACATAACATACAACATTTCTAGAATTAATTTACATATTTACATTAAGCTCACATTAATGTTTCGTTTTAATTGGCAAATGAAGGGATACTGTTACTGAAGGAGTTTGATATTGGCCTAGTTATAAACTGTGAATTTCTAATTCTGTAGATTTCTTTTTTAAAATACCCCTTTCAGAGTTCTTATTTTGGGGTTTTATTCGCTTCATGATAAAACTTCAAAAGAAAACAGTAGTAAATAAAAATTGTGCTTATATTAACCCGAATAAAGAATCCTTCCACTTCTAGAAAAAAGGTTTGCAAGGGAAGCTGACAGACCACCCGCTTCGTATTTTTCCAATCGGAATGATTGGTGATACTGTTGAATAAACGGTAAAGCATTATAGTGTTCACTTACATGATATACAAATACAGTTTGGTTGCTGTGGCAAAGAAAACTGAATGATTCAACATGCTAACACAAAATACTACGCTCTGAGGCGAAAGCCTGTGTGGGAAGGAGAGGCTGGCTGTGAAAAGTTGCATTTAGTCTACTACATTAGCTGGCTAATTTTCTTAGTCTCCTTTTACAGTCAGTGGAAAGGGATAGTCCTTTCCAAAGGGCAAAGAGTTAACTAAAGGGCTTGCAATTACTTCCCCAAGGGCCTGTTTCTCTCCACTGAGTGGGGAGGAGGACAAAGCTGGGTGCTGTGAGTGTCCTTTTGGAGGGAGAGACCTTTTCCGCTGTCTGAAATTTGGAGATGCTGAAGGCTCCCAGCTGTTGACATCACTTGGAGCTGGAGATGGTCAGGCTTTGAGGTGCCTAACTTGTATGTTGGGCCCTTGGCATGTTGTATTTGAAACAGTTGCTTTTCCTCATCTGACAGTTCTTATTTGACCTGACATACGTACCCTAAATGTGCTCTCATTGGGCTTTATTGTTGTTTTTTCCCAAGACACAATGAAGTGCTAAAGTATTCAGTAGTTTAGGGTACAGTGGCTTGGCACGCTGAGGTAAGCTGACCTTACAAACATTTAAAAAGGCAGCAGTGAGAATCCTGCTTGTCTTTTTGTTACTTTATTTTGAAACATATGTAGTGGTCTTGAATGAGACTTGCGATTTGCAGTGAGAGACTGAAAAAACCTATAGCACCTTTACTAAGTGCCTGAAGAGAAAGGTAGCTTGTTTGAGAAATAGGTAATAATCAAAGGCTAGTGAGAGATGGGAGAGTTGCTTCTTCTTAGCCTGTGTCCTGGACCTGGTATTTGGCTTTTTGGACTGGAGGAAGCTGGTGTTGCCTTGTAAGTGAACATGAGCTCAAGCTGAGCAATTGCAGTGGAAGAATTCTTGCCAGGCTTCGGAGCATCTCTGAGGTTTCTGCTCGCCTCCTGGCAGGGCTGTGCATCACTCCTCTTACTCAGAGCTTCACTGGAGCCAGTTGAAAGCAGGTCCTGTAACTTTTTTTTCAGTTACACTTCTATTACCATGTGCTTATTAAAGGTATGCTAGGTGAGAATATAATCTGAGAACTGTAAAAGACTTTCGGGAACATGTTTGTATTTCACTAGAAGCCCCCCATCTCCGTAGTTTTTGTTAACTCCTGATTCTGGTTCCCTTAGATGGTTTTGTTTTCAGCAGATTTGTATGTTCGGCAAAGAATGTGGGTTTTCTTTGGACTATTTTTGTAACATAGATGGATAGCAATGCCACAGCATGCAGAAATTGCACATTTTGCTTGAGTTGCTTTGTAAAATACATTATTTTATTTGAGAAATGTAATTTATGCCAAAAAGTATAACATGCCATTTTGCCACTGAAGAGGGTATTTTAGCACAAGATGCAATGTCTTGGGGGGGAAAAGGCAGACATTTTATAGATTTAATTGAAAAATTGTTCCATTACTGGGCTGTCAGCATCCCTAAAACTGCATTACAAGAGATTATCTAAATTAATCATTCTGAGGAGGGAAGGGGTCAAGGAAAATCTCAAGACTTACTCTCCCTGTCCTGTGTGGTCTTTTTTTTAGTAATACGCTGCTACATATTTGGAGGTTCTAGTGTTTGTAGGTCACTGAACAGACATTGAAATCTGATTTATATTGTATACCTGTAACATAGAAAGAAAAAGTATTTATATATTTTCCGTAAGAATATTGCATTGAGCTGTGTATAATTTAAACAGAGGCTTGTCCCAAAATGGTATTGCCCACCTTGATTTTTTTTTTTTTGTGTTCTTTTTTTCTGGTGGTTTTTTTGGGTTTGTTTTTTTTTGTATAGCGTGTACAGTTCATGTCAATGGGCATTAAAAGCCTTCTGAAGCATAATCTTATCAAAGGGATGCATTGTTAATAAAACGTACTTAAACTTCTTACAGTTGTTCTGGTCTTGTATGTACCTCTCAGCACTAGAAATGGGTTGGAATTTTATTTATATTTGTAAGTTACTAATTAACAAGAACAATCTGAAGCTTTCCAAATAAACATTTTTTTGCTGAAAATATATTTTATATTAATCCTTTGTAAGATGTCTTATAAAAATAGAAGGGGACTCTTCAATAGTTTGTACATCATTTTTATTTTAAAACTAGCATACTGATACTGAGAATTAATAATTTTCCATTAGGTGATGGTTTAAGTATTAGCATTTCAACAACAGTTGTGAAAGTTGAATTATAAACAAAAAAAATGACAGAAGTTTACAGTTTTGAATTCATTCAACCATTAATGCAAGACAGATGTCTTAAAACATATAAAAATTATACACGCCTCCCCACCCACGCAAAAATACTTTTCTAATGTCTAGTTCTAGTTCTAGTGTCCAGACTGTACCCTTTGACTGGCACGAAGGCATTATCCTCCTTGAAATCCTCTGTTCGTGTGCTTTTAAGCACAGGTGGTTTCATGACCACCACCCATCAGGGCCAGCAAGCAGAAAGACACATAGATAAGAGAGGAGCTAACCTCTTACCACCTCACCAGGCAATCTGGTACCTGCTGACGTGTTTCCTTGCGTCCAGATCAGTGCAGGATCTTCCCAGGAAAGACCAAGGGAAGGTGAGGTGGGAACTTACCAGGCCCCAGCCTCGGGAAGGCACAACTGGCTACATCGCCCCCACACACACCCCTCGGCTCACTCCCGGGGCCAAATTACCGCAGCCAAGCCCCAGTGACGGCAGCTTCTGCAAAAGTAGGAATTTGCACTTTGTGACAGCTGTCCTGTGGCATGAGGAGCTGCAGCATGTTGAAATTTAAAATGTTTCATGGGATGGTCGGACTTTTTTGACTGACTTCCGTATCAGAATTCCTTAGATGTGCAGCTCTTCGATTTAGGATACCTTTCAAACCTTTTTAAATAAACAGGCCTTTTTTTGCAATGCATAGCTAGGAAGTTTTATTTCGGTAGTGGCAAAACAGCTCCCTTCTCTTTATTGGCCTTTTTTCCAGGAGTAAAGCTTTTAAATTACACAGGTACATATGATGTGATGAAACACTTTGGAGAAGGAAATGTTCTAAGTCGTAAAGATACTGTGGTATCAAACTTTCAAATTCCCTGTACTTTCAAATTCCCTGTAACTCGAAGGAGAGTAACGTAAAGGGAGGAAAAGCTTCTCTGGGCTGTCTCCATTGAACAGCATCAGCTTCCCCTCTTATTTCCCTGTTCTCTTGTCAAACTGCAGTTCAGCTAAATGTTTCCAGTGATATTTCCTTACTGCACTGTCTGAAGGCTGAAAGGAAGGGGCATACTGCATTTTTTCTTCTACTTCTCAAGTAAATCTGTGTGCAACCTATGCATGGACACAGCACAGCGTGCGTTGACTGAATACCTCTAACCACAATTAGCCATCTGTGTGTTTGTACCTCACCTTGGGCTGCCTGAAGACAATTGTCCCGCTTCCCTTCATTGCAGTCAGTGCTTATCTCAGGGGAAGTCTATGTAAGGTCTTTGTTGGTTTTCCTGTTGCAACAAAGCTCATGGACATTGCAACAATAGCTATAAGCAACAGTATGAAACCTGTATGTAGTTCAGTATCAAAACTCATTTCTGTCTGCAGCTGCTTCATTTTTAGGAAATGTGATGAGCTAGTTAAACATAGGGAAGACGAGTAACTGCATTTTAACAAATAAGCTGAAGATCAAATTGTAAAAAACACTTCATTTTTTTTCGCATTTGAGAACTGCTTATTCTATGCTCTTAAGCTGAATTCTTTTATTTGTGAAAGATTGCAGACAGCAGCATAATTAGGCAAAACCAAAGGGTTCCTTGTGCACTGAGGAGGTTAAGCTGATGAGACTTCCAGATACAATTCCAACTATTCTGCTTCACTACAAATTTTTTAAAATCAAAATGGAAGACCAAATTCATCACTGCCCGCTGTTGGGATTCTGAGCATTACAATAAAATCTTTTTTTAATACATGCAAAAGTAGTGTTGGAAGAGCTAGCTGATACGCAGCCTGAATATGATGTTCTTCACAAATGGGATTCATACACCTGTGCATCTGACTGCTGTGGCTGCTTACCTGCTTGTTTGGGGCTTGCTGCTTAAGTGCAGGGCTTAATGCCAAAAGACGTTCAGTTCATCTGCACAAGCACAGTGCCATAGTAACACCTCTGCAAACAGCCGTCCTGCTGGAAAAACAGTTCCTTTCTACTTAACTCCCCACACTTCGTTTAGTTAAGAGGATTTTGTTTAGGATTTTAAAGGGTCATTCTTCCAGGCAGAGAAGGCATAAGTGTGAGGAGCCCCAGTTACCAGAAATGGGAGTGGCAGCCCACTAACAAGACTGTACTATAAAAATCTGTTTTCTGTGCTCTTTCACCCACCAAGGGTAGTTAGAAGGGTGAAGTGAAAGCTGGACAATCATTGGATTTTGGTGCACCAGGTAGCACTCCTAGAGTTCCTTCTAATCTTTCAGTAACGCCCCAAACTGAATGCAGGTGACCCTTCCATGTTGATTCTTTACACCATTTGAGAGACAGAAAATACAACCCACCCCCGCAATGTTACTGGGCTGAGGCAGACTGCGAAGCTGGGTAATGCTCCGTGCACAGCTGCACAATAACTCTGGCTAGGGGTGGCCGAGCACATAGTAAGCGCACACAGAATACTGCAAGTGAAATACACTCCTTGAGCAGAACAACCTACCTGCTTGTTTAACTTGCTCCTCTACTTTCTGAATAAATTTTTAATCTATTTCTGCAAAATACAGTAGTTCTTTGCAACAGGCTATGAGAAACTGCTGTGAGCTAACCTCCTAGATAATACAGGCCACACAACAATCTGTAAATCTTATATAATGCCTGTAACTTGTGATGAAACCATAGCACGCATCAGTACTTTTAAACTAGTCCTGAAGAAAGAGCTTTGCAGCATTAACAGAAGTAGGGCAGTTGAAGACTTTCAGAAGCCCATCAAAAGGAGAAGTTGTGGTGGTTTTAGAAATTCTTATTTATATTGTGTAACCAAACACTGGATGGATGCAACAGAGGAGAGTATATCAAAGCCTCCTCCCTAGGCAGTGCACATCTGTTTGTGAAACGTATCTCAGGCTGGTCTTTCTGCCAGCTGTTTCTCTGGGTGTTGAGGCAGCATCTTCATTAAAAATATCGAAGTAGTAGTGTGGCTGGTACAGCACTACTGACAGATCTGGCTTGCCTGCTTTTAGTGGCTCCGGTATTTGACAGGGATTAGATTCAACTGCAGGATGAGAAGAATAAGCAAAATTTTCAAACCAAGTATGAGTATGAGGTGTAGGTATGGGTGTAAAGTCTCTCTCCTCATTTTCATTAGAGTAAATCCAGGAAGAATTGTGGCCATCAATTTTATCTTCTGTTGGCATTGAAGACAACTGGCTCCATGGATGTAATTTCTGGGCTTCGGCCTTACTGTCCACTGCTAGCATGTCAGGAATGCAGTCACTTATTTTCAATACTTTCTCAGAACCAATCTACAAGAGAATCATAAAACAAAAAAATTACTCAATGAAAGAAGCCCAGAGTAAAGGAAAAAGAGTGATTACTTCAAGCACTTCTAATAGTATCTTATAATTTTTTTTTAGTTTGGATTTTTCAAGTAAATGAACAGAATTTGAAGGAAAACATGTACGGAATGTTCAATGGAAGCTGTATTTTATGTGGAATTTATCAAAGTATTTATTTAGAGATTTCTTTTTTAAGTTAAGTTCAACACAGCTACATTTGAGGAAGGAACCGTGTCCCTCTAAAGACTTTCCCAGGTTTTTGATATGTGCAGTTTTTAGACTGAACCACTAGCAACTGGAAGGCGGCAGCATGGGCTGTTAGGTTGTACAGATTCCTCCCTCTGGGGCCAGTGTTCACTGAACACCAGCAGCAAAAACGGCAGCAGCCCCACATGAGCCAGGGTAAAGGCATACTGCTAGTTTTGCGCAGCATGGAAGCAGCAGCTCCCGGTTCGAAGGGCCTACAGGAGAAGCTGAAGGCCTTTTGCCGATTCTTTTCTCCCAGCCAGACCTGGCAGAACCCCCTGCATCCTCCCAAGGGCCAGCAAGTGCATCACTCTGCTGTGCCCTACGGGAGAGGGACGTGTGGGGCAGGAGGAGTGGGCAGACGCAGTTCACAGGCTGCAGAGCAATATTGTCTGGTCTGTTGTCTTCAGGCAGTGCTGGGTTTTGAACAGCTATACTGGAAGAATCACCTACTGTATGAAAAGATTTAATTTATGCTCCAATTATGCTTTCACTTTTTGCAGTAACAGACTACAGAATATAAACTGATCGCTGCAGTCACATGAATATCAAAAGGAGAATTTTCCCCTAAATGATGATATTAAATTATGTTAATTTCTATATAATGAGTGTCACTGATTTTTAAATGTAGTCAACACGAGAAAAATATTTTTCCAAAACTTCACTAATCAAAGCGTGGAAAAATTAAAAATACTAGATTTTCAGTGATCTTACCTTAAACTCTTTGAATGACAGCACTTTGCTCTTGTTAGGACTAGGTATTACAGGACAGCAGCACTCCTTCACCCTGGAAATAAAAGAGCAAAACAAATGAAGTTTTTGTTCTCTCATCAAAGCATATTCTACCAGCAGAAGCCACATGTAGATGAGTACAGAAACAGCAGCAGATGATGAGTGTCTCAGAAATGCCGCAAGCCAAATTCTTACAACATCCACACAGTTGGACAGCCAAAGGAAAAAATGAATGAGGCCCTACAACAGGCTGGAAGCAACAAGCTGCAGCTGTGCTTTGTGAATTACGCTAGTTAACATTCTCTGTCTATAATAGAAAAATGCATTATAACTTACCACTTCATCTTCCAGCGGCATATAGCTGCTACTAGTGATGGAACTATCACTAGCAGGAATAGAAGGTACAGCATGTTTGCTGTGAAAGAAAAATACTTTAAAAATTTGTTTTCAACTTCTCACCTGTTAAAGTCAATATAGCCTGAGTTTCCAGGACAAAAATAACATTAAGCCCATGTGTTTTTTTAGCAGGAAAACTGTGTGGTCCATAGTTGCAAGATAGCTTGGCTGGAAGTTCTGCGATACAGCTGTAAGTCTTTGGACCCTGATTTCCTTTACCTAAATTGAATTATTACTAGATTGCTTTTAATTTGCCCTCATGTTGGCATCTTAACCATAAGGGTAAATTTCCAAAAATTAAGACAATTATAACCTCACTTAACTATTTGTTTTACATTTTCTCTCACATTCCCAAAAAAGAGATTTCTACTGTGAGACATTGACGGAACATCTGTACCTCCAGTATGGATGGACTACAGCAAGACAGACACTACACAAGTGTTCATGCTCTTCTAGGATTTATGCTGACACAAGAATCTCAGTATTTCCTTCTAGTTGGAAGACACAGCCTTGGGCTATGTTTTTCACAAGGAGCTGAGGCTATAATAAGCAGGCTGAGGGGAAGCACTAGTTAGTGCTTGCTCTCCCTCTACCCCAGCCACTGCCCTCTTGCCCTGTGCCAGAGAGTTTGTGTGTCCCTACCACACACCACAGCAGGGAATGGACACGTATTACATTCTCCTTTTATCTTTTCTGGGTTAATTAAGCACCCATTTTGATTCCCTGCATGGCTGTACAAACGTCTGTGCCTGCACAAGAGAAGGCTGGCTACTGGGAGCTGGAACATGGGTGTTAAGAGGCAGAACTGCCTCTTTGAGGGTACCATGAGGGTTTAGACACTGTTCTGCTAGTTAGCCTAGAACACGAAGTCTCCTTGCACAAGCCAATGCTTCACCCTTTCCTTACCCTCCCCCTTCACCCCCACCCCCCGAATTTTTTCAAAACCAGGCATCTCCAATTTGGATCATAAGTTTCACAACCACAACTGCTGAGTGGTATTTTCAAGGGAACAGAACTACAGGCAAGTGATTTCCTGTTCTGCTTTGATGATCAAATCTGCCCAGTTAGCAAAGTACAATGCTCAAGCCAACAACCCTTTCTTACTAACTTATGAAGGAGTTAACTTGGCAATGGATTTAAAGACTGATGAGAATAAGAATCAACATTAGAAGTTCAGGATCCATACAGAAATTACCTGTTTGCACACAGATCTGTAGTTCTTCCCCTACTGGAAAACTAGTTAAATCCAAATGCAGTTCTTCATCACATTCTAGCAAACAGGACTCACCAGTCATGCAAATGTGCATATATTAAGCTATTTCCCTGGTTTCGGCTGGGATAGAGTTAATTTTCTTCCTAGTAGCTGGTATAGTGCTGTGTTTTGGATTTAGTATGAGAATAATGTTGATAATACATTGATGTTTCAGTTGTTGCTAAGTAGTGCTTACACGAAGTCAAGGACTTTTCAGCTTCTCATGCTCTACCGACTGAGAAGGCTGGGGATGCACAAGAAGCTGGGAGGCGGCACAGCCAGGACAGCTGGCCCAAACTGGCCAATGGGATATTCCATCCCATATGACATCATGCTCAATATATAAACTAGGGGAAAGCTAGCCGGGGGGCCGCTGCTTGGGGACTGGCTGGGCATCAGTCAGTTGGTGGCGAGCAATTGTTTTGTTTGTTTGTTTGTTTTTTCATTTGCATCACTTGTCTTTCTTGGGTTTTATTTCTCTCTCTTTTTGTTATCCTTCTTTTCATTTATTATTATTATTATTATTATTA